TCTGTATTTCTTTACATTAGATAGGTATTTGCGTATTTCCTGTACTCATGTTCCCACGCAACACAGTTCATCAGTTGGTAAAGGATTGTGGTCAGCACAAAAAGGGTTGGTTCCAGACATGGATCACAGGGAAATTAAACGGATCAAATCAGTCAAAAAGACCCATAAAATTAATCTATAGAAATGACAGGACACTGATAGACACTGGCACGCCCGCTGGTGAACCCAGAGAACAGAAGCGGAGATGCGCATTTCCCATTCTTCAATTTTAAGTGCAGTTTGGTACAATTTGTAGCTTGTCCCATTGCTCCCTATTTTCCTGTAACGGGATTAACGTATTCCGAGCACTTTCGAAGTTATTGGAAGGCGGTTTTCTAGTGTTCATCAATTGTATGGTTTTATTACCCAAAAAGCCACAAAACATATACACTGAAGAATGTATAGTCGTTTTTATACGAATTGAAACAACAACAAAAGTGTGAAATCCTATACAGATAAGAGATAAGTAGCAAAAATAATTAAATGAAATTTGTCATAGGCGTCACACTCAAGACTGATAGAGTTCAATATTTCTGTATTTCTTTACATTAGATAGGTATTTGCGTATTTCCTGTACTCATGTTCCCACGCAACACAGTTCATCAGTTGGTAAAGGATTGTGGTCAGCACAAAAAGGGTTGGTTCCAGACATGGATCACAGGGAAATTAAACGGATCAAATCAGTCAAAAAGACCCATAAAATTAATCTATAGAAATGATAGGACACTGATAGACACTGGCACGCCCGCTGGTGAACCCAGAGAACAGAAGCGGAGATGCGCATTTCCCATTCTTCAATTTTAAGTGCAGTTTGGTATAATTTGCAGCTTGTTCCATTGCTCCTTATTTTCCTTTAACGGGATTAACGTATTCCGAGCACTTTCGAAGTTATTGGAAGGCGGTTTTCTAGTGTTCATCAATTGTATGGTTTTATTACCCAAAAAGCCACAAAACATATACACTGAAGAATGTATAGTCGTTTTTATACGAATTGAAACAACAACAAAAGTGTGAAATCCTATACAGATAAGAGATAAGTAGCAAAAATAATTAAATGAAATTTGTCATAGGCGTCACACTCAAGACTGATAGAGTTCAATATTTCTGTATTTCTTTACATTAGATAGGTATTTGCGTATTTCCTGTTCTCATGCTCCCACGCAACACCGTTCATCAGTTGGTAAAGGATTATGATCAGCACAAAAAGGGTTGGTTCCAGACATGTATAACAGAGAAATTAAGCGGATCAAATCAGTCAAAAAGACCCATAAAATTAATCTATAGAAATGACAGGACACTGATAGAGACTGGCACGCTCGCTGGTGAACCCAGAGAACAGAAGCAGAGACGCGCAGCGGAAACATTTCTCATTCTTCAATTTTAAGTGCAGTTTAGCATAATTTGCAGCTTGTCCCATTGCTCCTTATTTTCCTTTAACGGGATTAACGTATTCTGAGCACTTTCGAAGTTATTTTATTATCCAAAAAGCCATAAAACACTGAAGAATGTATAGTCTTTCTTATACCAATTGAAACAGCAACAAAAAAAAAGAGTAAAATCCAGGCAGGTAAAAGCAGCAAAAATACATTAAATGAAATTTGTCAATAGGCATCACACTCAAGACTGCACTAAGGCGTGGGAAGTAAAAATTAGGGCTTAGTCAACTCAATCCGGGAGCCTAGTATCTGACGATTCATGCTATTTTCGGAGCCCTACCCCAGTGTATCATTCTCATATCTTTTTGACACATGTTGCTATAGAAATGTGAAATTGTCTGATTCTGACAAATTGTCAAGTTGATAATTTTCTAAATTCCTCGGCGAGTGTGAGTTAGATAAAATTGATACATTTCGCTACCTGCAACCATGTCGAAAAATGTAATGGTAAGACTGCTATTCCCACTGGCCTGTAAGTCCAATATTCCATGAAGAAATTTAGACAAATTGTTAATGTAACCTATTCTATTATTGTTCCAGACGAATTTATCACCAATACTCTGCTAGTTGTGAGCATTTACGTGGGCCTCATCGACACGTATATACCTCCACTGATCTACAAAAGGGCCAGTTCCCGATTGATCGACGGCTTCGTTCTATGTTTCGATTACGTAGATGAAAGACTTCAGCGCTACAACTTCAGAATTTAATACAACCTTTTCTGTTCTTGTCTTGTTATTATTTCAAAATGTAATGTATGAAATTTATGGGTTAATAAAATATAAATATTAATCACAACAGTTTCAATGAATTGTCCGACTTTTGATGGCAGTGTATTGGCAGAACTGCGTGTTCCGTAAATGTCAAATATTAGAGCAAAGTGTGTGATAGCAAGACACAAGAACTTTCAGATTCCTTATTAACCTTAATTAATTAACGGTTGTGTGGTTTTGTATTTCGTATTATTCCAAGAAAAATATGCATTTTAGATTCAGTAATACATCTTACGTATTTTGAAATAGGGTTTCATGAGTATTCATCACGGTAGAATACAGCTGATTATCTAGTAATATTTCAAAATTCCCCATATCTGCAAAGGATACATAACTATGACATACGAACTTACACATTTCTTAATTAACGATTCTGTGGTTTTGTATTTCGTATTATTCCAATAAAAATATGTCTTATAGATTCAGTAAAAAGCATTCCGGTTAAAAGTACCTTCTTGTAGTCATATAAAGCAATGCAGCAGATTTTCAATGAAACGTGTGAAGTTCCGTGCCATCATATTGGCTGCTCTGTGTGTTGCGTAAATGCCAAATAAAATATCAAAGTGCCTGATGGCAATATCTAAAAACTAGCCAGTTTTTTTATTGAACAATTGTGGTCCATCTTCACGTATCCTAACATGAAAAATATGTATTTTTGAATAATACGCCTCGCGTATTACTATATTCTGAACACCCCCTAACTACCCCTAGATCATCAAGGTGTCAAAACAAAACATCAGGCATCAAATTGTCAAAAATATTTGTGTGCTAACATTGCATCTTGAAGAAAGACTAAATTTTGATACTACCAAGAGCAGAGCGGTTAAAATTGAACTTTGCAGCACTACATTTTCCCCGTTAATAATCTACAATGAATCCTTTGTGGCTAATAGCTTGTGCAATAGTTTGTGAGTGGAAATTATAGAACCAAATTGGATATGTCAAATTAACCCTTCAAAATCTGTTTCTAGTGGACCTTAGCAGCAACTTTTCAGTGATCCTGTGCCTTCGAATGATCCTGGTCAACCTGTATGACGCCAATTCTCTGCTTACTTTGGGAATTCGAAAGCTAGCCCAGGATGTTACAATTTACACACGTGATTACTTCATTGGAAGAGTAAGGGGAATGGTTACGCGTACAGAACCAAGTCTGCTTAATGCGAAGAGACCCGCTCTGTGCTTGAAATTTCTCATTTTTTGTTATCGGGTATTTATTTACTTAGTGAATTATTGTTATTATATGCTAGAGCACATGGACATTTTTTAGGATTTCACATAAATTGTAAATGGAACAAATTGACATGAATAAAAACTGAAAACGTATGAGAGTGTTTTTTGGCGTTAAAATTTGTTATTGTTGTAAAGAACATTGCTGTAATTGTTCCCAGAATAAAAATTAAATTCAGACCATGATGATTGACATAATTTCTTAAGCCCCCATACACGTGAGAACAATTTGCGCAAACGCTAGCACATACACGTAGCAACCTGTTGCGCAAACATCATATCGTTTTGTGGTGTTGTTGGTCGGACACGGGCGATTGCTGAGCCGCCAGTATTCTGGCGCTAGTGACTGAGAAACGGAAGGTTAAAAGAAAGCAAAGAGTGTGGGTGGTCTTATTTCTGTCTGTAGGTGTATAACCGTCACTTTTCACCTTCCACACATCAGGTACACGACAATACACTCCAGTAAACCCTCTCCAAAGTTCCCGCTGTTCATCTTCCGTTGTCTTACTCGCCATATTGGAGAGGTAAACAGCAACAAACTGAAAAAAAGATTATTGAAACATCGTTTCCATCCACGGAATAGAGATGAAACTTGACTGTCAGATGTCAGCGCAGATTTTTTGTAGAGATGGGTGCGACATGGGGAATTAAATTAGAGTTTTTAGTTGTCTTGTTTTCCTGCTTGTTTGTGGTCTTCCTTATTTCGATGTTTTGCGCAGAAGCAAGATAATCCTACATTATACGTTATCGAAATAAGAAAGCTCTGTTGGTTAATGACAATAGGGGAGAGCTTATTACGTAAAATTATATCTTCCTTATTCATGGCTGTTGTCGGAATTTATAAAGCTGGGTAAGCATAACTAAAATAACTTCAAGTTAAGGGTTAAAATATAAGAGGAATATGAATTTTTGATCGCAAAAAAAATAAATGCAAGAAATAGGCATTGTTCTAAATGAATTGAATTATCCTGAATTTTGTAGTTATACTGGTTTTGTGGTCACTTGTCCTATTGCGATTCCATGATTCTAAAGTTTAGGAACGTTCGTTGTCCTACCTGAGACCAAGCCTAACCTGATGACTGGCACAATTACTTGCGAATTGTCAGAGTTAGTAACAGAGATTTCTGATATCCTCACTTTTTTTAACTCTTTTTGTTATCTGATCTCAACGAGTTAATTTTTTTTGTTACAGTCTCTTGACGTACGTTTTGCTGTTTACCCGCCACGTTTTATTGGATAGGATTTGTCCCACAAAACGTACAATAAGACGTAGCGATTAAACCAGCCTTAATATTGATCGATTAAAGATGAAAAGAAGGTTTGACCGCACGCTTTTTCCACTGAAATTTAATGTGAAAATCTCAAAATTAAGATAGATGAACAAAATGTATCAAAAGTGACAACTGTACTTAAAAAGTAATTTTAAACCTATTTACATATATGGTTTAATTCGGTCAGACAAACATATACCTTACCTTTGACGTCACCTTTGCATTTTCATTGAAGATTGAATAAAATTACTCGGTATATTTTTCAGAATCTATATATTGAGAAAATGAGATCAAGTCCAATACAAAAAAAAGCTATCAATTAATAAATCTGTCTACAGCTACAGAAAAATACCAAACACAATATGGTTTCCATATACAGGGTGATTCCAGGACATGGAGAAACCTACAATTTCGGCGACTAATTTTTTTCTTTATGATGACCGCTGGAGCTTTTGTCTATGTTAAAACTGATAAAAACAATTTTGTGGTGAATTATTTTTTGCTTCTATAAAAATTTGTCAATATAGTCAATAAAGACTAATACCTGTTTTATAGTCAAAACTTTCTGCAAAAAAAATGTTTGCATTTTTACGACATCCATTAGGAAATAATAATCTAATGACACCACCAGAAAATGTACTGTCGCAAAAATTATAGGTTTTTCCCTACAAATGCAAAGCTATGAACAGAGAAATAAGTAAAGCTGCTTTTTTACGACTCCGATAGCAACTGATATTAAACCTTAAAACTAATGTATAAACACTATGTACTATCAACATATAAAAACACACTTCAAAGCACAACCAAATTTGACAAGATCCTGGTCAGTTCTTATCGACTTGTGTACATTGACTCATCCGTGTTGGTGGCCTTATCAACATAAATCTTTTTAGTTCCTTCGGTGATGTTAACCCGAATGCTTATTTGCAGATCATTGGAGATTTCTAAAGGTGGCAAATCTCGAATAGGCCTTCGACATTTGATATCCGTGAATTTATATTTCTTCCTGAGCGGTTCGAAGATATCGTTGTCAGAAGAGCAACGTTTCAATGAATTGTCGGCTCTATCTTGGTAACTCGTGTCTATGCCTGAGAAGTTGTGGAAAATGTTCGATACAATACTACTGACAGATGTCCAAATCGTGTTGCATCTCGACATGCCCGTGTCCGAAGTCATGCAGTCAACATCGTAGGTCTCGTTGGGTTTCGGTTGTTCAACCACTGCAGGTGCAGAAATGTTTGCGGTAACTTCAGCTGGGGGGATAGCAATGATGCTCACAGCGCTTGCAGTGTTTTCCCGGGCTGGGTTCGTGTCACTGTTTGCAAAAATTGCATGCGCTGGGGGTTGAACAGCACGTGGTACATTGGGGGTTGAAAACGTTTGGATCATATCAACAAACAGTTGTTCTTCTTTCTTTTCTTTTTTGGCCGGTGTAGGTTTAACAATGCTGACTTTCCTATGTGCGGATTTTGGAGCGACTGGTGTCGCGACATTACTTTTTGGTATACTTTGCTGTTTGTCCCCTTGCTCCTTATTTTCCTGAAACGAGATTGATTTCATTCAGCCTACTTTCCAAAGAATATTTCCAGACATTTGCCTACTGGCAAGGAAGTATTGTAATCGCGAAAAATGTTTGTTTCTTTGTGTAGCATAATACCGTATAAAGTTAATACTGGATCAACGGAAGTCTCAAAACCTATTGAATGCACCCCTATATGTAAACGGGATAACGAACTTTAAATCGCAATTACAACTAAACCATTGGGTTTAAGGCTGTGATTTTTTTTCTGAGATGAGCTAAATGGCTGGTTTTAGCAATGGTTATGCCACTTTTTGACAGAGCTTATTAGAAATCAACGCAAAAAATCTTGAATTCATTTTTTTTTGTGAAAAATATCTCCCATCCCTAAACTTTGGAGGGCGGAAAAAAATTGAGGTTCACAAACCTTACTACCCTCTTCATTCTTCTCATGATTTTCATGTTCCATCTCATCTTCATCCTTATGTTCTTCGTTCTCTTTATGTTCATCTTCATCCGAGCAAATTTCAATTGATAAATTCAATGCACTAATCCAAACTGTATTATCATCTTCGGCGGTTATTTCCAGAACATTTTTTGGTTTCTCCTCATTGGTCTTAATAGGGTCTTGACTAGGTTCGTTTTCTTCATTTTTTATCTCGCTTGTTTTGACATCCGAAGAACTGTGGATACTTGTTGTTTGCTCAATTTTTGCGGTGTGGAATGTTGAGGGGCTCACCATCATCCCTGAAAAAATATGCAAGATTTAACGACCCCTTGAGTCACATCTATACTTCCCACACCTATATATATATATATATTGGGCAAAAAATACAGTTGAATTTTTTATTTAGAATTGGCAAAACTTAAAGCATAGTTTTGACTGAAATCTCGAGCTTTCGACAAACTGTGTTGTCATCTTCAGTAGCTAAAACACAAATATGAAAATAGCAACCGATTTAGAACAAATTTAAATTTCCAATTACTTACTCGTCGATGAGGTTGCTACTAAAAGGTGTTTTAGAATGAAAATAAACCCGAACGGATTAAAAAGAGGAAAGAGTGATCAAGTTATTAAGAACTAAAACTAACATGCGTCGCTGCAACACCAAATCCGAACAAAATCAGTCAAGCTTTACACACTCTTCAAATTACTATTGAGCAACGAACAGAACATAAAACACTTTTCAAGTGCAATCTTTATAGCTAATATATTACTCAGACTTAGATTTGACACAAGTCACAGTACTCGTATATACGTATAAATCGTAAGAATTGTGCTGTAAACGTATGTCAAAGAGGGACAGCGTTTGGAATACCAAAGGATACCAAAAAATCGCAATGCTCAGTTCCTATAGGTAGTATGCCTCTGTCGCCATGATGTGTCAGAAAGCAACACAATGGTGTTAGATTACAAAAGCGCGTGTCAGTCGTCTAGGGGGGAGGCGCGACCGCCCGCTCCCCCTAAATCCGCCACTGGATGCATCACTTCGGTAGAGCTCTCAACAGTCTGTAAGCTCGTGTTTGACAGGTCATCTTCTTTTGTTTTACAACTCACTTGTTTACCACCTGTAGTTGGCCATGCAATAAAATAACACTAACTAACTAACTATTGTCAATGTATTGATTTCATAGATACTCAAGATTAGGATATGAAAAAAGTTTGTTTACATACCAGTTGTTGTCTCTGTCATAACCATATTTTTTGGCTTGCGATGACTGCTTTCTATGAACGGAGTTCCACTAAAAGTAACCCTTTTCGAGGAATAATTGCACCGACTATTTGGATTTTTCAAAATACTGTTTTTGGTATTCTCAGTACTCTCCACAGGCGTTATGATGATTTCTTTGACTTTTTCTGTCCCCCCACCATGGTGCATGGGCGTACTGGTGGCCAGGTGTACCAACAAGTTTATGTTTTTATTGCCATTTTTACCCATCAAAATATTCGCTAATGGAGGAGAATCGTAGTTTGCTTCATAGGATGTTTGCGTAGGAGTTTTTGGATTTTTTCCATCGTTGTTCTTAGACAGTACTTTATTAGCTTCAGTGCATTTTATATACAGGAATAACTCGTCTATAGTGTCGAACGTCTTCGTGCAAAGTTCACATCGGAGAGGAAAATGGATGGTTTTCAAATGATCTAACAATTTTTCAGACAACGTTGGCGATATTATGATTTGTCCATATTTGCAAATATCGCATTCAGCGAAAAAACTGTGTTTTGAAGTTTCGTGTCTTTCTCTACAAGACGTGCAACAAAACGTACGCATACAAACTCTACATTTATCCTAGAAAAACGAAATACTGTTGAACGGATTTTCGAAAGAAATGTTAAATATACTTACGGATTTCAACAACTTCATGTTTCGTAGCAATTAACGTAATGTAAAAAAACATTGTCCATGATAAAAAAAATTATAATAAATAAAAACAATCAATAACTACATGCCTATCACATACAAACTGCCTCAAACTAATTCATCTTTGTAAACGCTCAACGTCAAACTGAACAAAAATCTAATTCAACGAGACTCAGAACCAAAAATACAGGCAGTGATGCCAAATTTTCGCACCCTGTTTTCAGGATACCAAAAAGCAACTTTTGTCGAAGACCTCAAATATGACCTAGATAATGACCTATGAGGTCATTTGGAGGTAAAGTCCTAATAGCAATCACCAGGTTTGAAAACGGACTCATCTAGAGCTTGAGATTCTACATCAGACTTTGCGATGTGCTCGATCATTTCATTCGTTCTCCGACGCTAAGCAACGTTTATTCTTGGTTTTTATTTCATGTTAAGATACATGTTTCAATTTTTAATAGTCCACGTAAGCCCTCCCTCACATAGTAGATGTAGCTACAAGATATACACGTTTCCTAACAATCTCAAATAATGTCATTTTTGTGTCATGTTTTCATCAGTTCAGATTTTTTTTTTAATTAATACATACCTGCTTTTGACTAGGGTTGCCAGATGCCCTCCTTTTGGGAGAGCAAACCTCTTTTTCAGTATCGAAGATGAAAGCCAAGCGTTAAAAAAAATTGAAGAAGAAGGCTCACTTAGCTCGAGGTAAAGCTTGTTTCCAGAGTTCAAAATCCAGTCGGAATAGAGATTTTCGAACTAGATTAATATTTTAACAGCCATTTAACCTATTTGTTGGATTTTGTTAAATGTTAACATGCATAAAGTTATTTCTGGAAATTTAGATAATATCAAATAGGAAAAACCGCTTTAAAAAGCTACAAATGATGATGGCTGCCTAGATTCCTCGATTCACATCCAATCAGATTTATCTTTGAAAAATACTTATACAGCATTAATCCGGCTTCTATTTATGAGGCGCACTTCCATGTGAACGACGATTCAGTTTTGAAAGCGAGCATTTGTTATTCAAAATATCTATATGACCTGGACTATTACCCTCACCCTCGTAGGTGCCCGCATCCAATGGCATATCTGAATTTGTTGCGCTGGACCAGTGTTGCCATAGCGCGGAGGCCAAATTACTGGCTTGTACTACACCATATTACTGGCACTTACTGACAAACAGGGAAAGCCTAAAATCTGGCCACCTGACAGATTATTCTTTTTATGACGAATGGCAACCGAAGATTTAACAATGTTCTGCGATTTGAGGTTCCATAATCGGTTCGAGAGTTATCATATTGACCTCAACCAATCTGTACTAGACTGATTTATATGAAGGATACCGGTTTATGAAAGTAGTTCCTGTAGATTGCTAAAAACCGTAGAAAAATCCAAAAATATAATTGAATAAAGTTACGGAAAGTTTGTATCCCATGGTAACCTGGATCATACTGATATCATCCTCTCATATTTCTAAAACATTTTAAATGTAAAAACGGAATAGGAAATGTTGAAATGGTAGAAAAACCGCCCGAGGACCACAGAGCACAAAGCATGAGAAGACAAGAGAGAGAGGCGTCGAGTCAGTGGCGGGCTATTATGGATGATCTGATTTGGCTTTATTAATTTTATAAATAGAAGAAAATGTAAACATGCTTTGCATGCATCAAATAATTTTGGATAACTCAAACTCCAGCGGATACGTTTGATAAATAATAAATTCAATATCGCGCAGTGTTTGAACTGAAATTTAATCCAACGCCAATAGGACTTGATGGCCGTCCGGTGATGACTCACAGCAATTTAATAATTCTTTCGTAACAATTCACGATGTCCATTTGTTAACCAGGAGTAGAATCAGTGATTCGTCATTCATTTTTTGATATTGTCATTATAGGTCTGGAAGAGACACCTATGGAGACGAGGCGATTGGTTATGTGCAGTTAAAAAGAGTACGGGATCCCTGTATTGTAAAAGCCAGGATTACGCTCGAACATTGAGTTAAAAGCAATCCGTATCATTCCAGTTTTGAATGCGACGAAAAGGAGGAAACGATAATCAAGCTAGAATGCAGTGGATGTCCTGCACAAGAGGGTGGCTGTAAGCATGGTGTAACGCTATTAATGTGGCTGCACAGAAGAAGCGAAGAACCACCATGCACTTCCGTGAAGTGCTACTGGAACACTGCCAGATTATCTACTATTGGCAGTAATCTAAAATTGATAGAAGCTTCTCAGATGATTACACATTAAGTACACACATTACCGACGCCTATGCATCGCCGCATCGGCACAAACAAGGATTGAATAGTGTTCCCCTTACAGCCACAAGATGATCACTATACAAAAAAATACTCACATTATCCCGAAATGAAAGCAATAATCAAATCTATTTCTGTTCTCCTTTAAACCATTTAGATACTTTACCTTATCATGCGAGGCATACAGACTAAGACTAATGATAATTTTATTATTGCTACCATTTATATCATAGGTATTAGCTAAACAGCTGCTTACATCAAAATGGGATTCACAGCAAAACAACGTTGATTTTTCGGACAGCGGCAATTTATCGTCCCTATTGCACCTCTTCTTTCTAATACTGCTGATATGCTAGTATTTGTACACCTAGGTACAATAAAATATTTGTTGGTTGAAGGTTTGACCCACTTTTTACACATTGTTAATAATAGGGGAAAGCGTGTGTGGCGCGGCGCGGCGGGCGTATCTCCTTGCAGTGATGCTGGGCTGATAAGCTTCCGTCATGTGACGTCATCACTCACTCGCACGGCCCACCACACGATTCTCCAAATAATAAACTTCCGACTAGCGTAACTTTTCTATTTTTCAGGATATTAAAAAAAAATTCAGCGCTGTTCTTCATTTTACTTAGACTATCATTTTGAGTGGCTTTTGAAAAATAGGAATCTTCCTCATTCCTTCCAATCATGCATTACTGGCAAGTCCCCTTAGTCTTGGCAAATGCCAGTAAATTACCGGCAAAACGGCAACACTGCGCTGGACAATTGTTGAACGCGCACTGCGCAAGACAAGGCCAAGGCGCCAAGGCATTGGTTTGGTGTTCGACTATTTGACTTTGAGAAAATGGCGGAGCCGCGTAGCAGTTGTTTTGATTTATTCCTGATCAATCAGTTATTGTCATGCTATTTAATATGCAGTTAATTAAAGTAAAGCAGTAATATATTCTCCGGTAGTTGGCTCTTAGGGTCTAGACCTCGTTTCCCTGCTTTTTCCTTTCCTCTAAAACCTGCAGGAGCAGGTGGTGGCAGAGTTTCAACGGAAAGTTTGCAATCAATTGTGTCCTTATTTGTTTTTATTTAAATTTATGGCGTGATCTCTGTTTATGCAGAATGTCAAATTTATACAGAATTAAGTTTGGTACAACCTTATGCTCTTCAAATCTTTAAATAGCAGCATTTCAGCTGTTCCGGTCGTTATTTTTCAAAACCGAGTGTAGTTAAAGTAAGATGCCCCAATCAAATTCAAGTTTTTGCTTTTTGGTTTGATGTCTACCGACATCTTTAAGATTTTGCACAAATCTATCGAAACCAGATCGACCATATACACTGGCAACCTGGATCATCCTGATTCAATTCTCTCATATTTCTAAAACTTAGGTTAGCCATATTTCACATGGATACATTTAACCTATTTGTTGGACTTTGTTAAAATTTAGCATCCATAAAGTCATTTCTGGAAATTTAAATAATATAGCTACAAGTGGTAGTGACCGCCTAGATCCCTAGATTCAGATCCATCGGATTTATTTTTGAGAAAAACCTACTCAGAATTAATACTTCTATTTCTGATGCACGTTTCCATCTGCGGATTTTGCAAGCGGGCATACACAAATGGAAATCGTACGATTTGCTTGTACAGACTTTAATATGGATGTCAAAATGAACGAAAAAATTGACTAATGGACATTTGATTTTTTCTTATTCATTATCAATCAATTTGTGAAAAATTGATCTTAGTGGATAAGGTACTCGATTTTTCTGTTTATTTATCATTACAAATCAGTGTTCTACCGATACCACCAAAAAGATTTTGTTGCCCTTATTGTAGGTATTTGTTATTGAAACTATCTATAGTACCTGGCCTATTACCCTCACTCGCGTAATTGCCCGCGATCCAATGGCAGATTCGGATTTGTCGCGCTGGACCAGCGTTGCCACAAGTCACTGTCTTCCACTACACCGTATTACCTGCAATTCCTGACAGCAGTACAAAGCCTAGACTCTAGAATATGGTTCATACTGATATCATCCTCTCATATTTCTAAAACCGTTTAAATGTAAAACGGAGTAGGATATGTTGAATGAGAGACAGGCTACCAGCCTTGTCCATGGTCAGTTCGGGTCTATGTACCATGTTAATATATAGTATAATGTACAAATATGGCAGACTGCTATCGATACAAAAGTTTAGGGAAGTTGAAAACTTGATATTTATGGCAAGCATCCTAATGAGCGGGAAAATGGCAACACTGCATTTGAAAGCGCAATCTGGTGTGACGCTAAGGCATGAGACGCCATCTGGTGCAACGCTAAAGCTTTAGGCGCCAACGCCAAGCTGTTGGGGTGTTCGACTGTTTGAGTTAATGGCGTAGCAGTTTCTTTAATTTATTCCTGATTAATCACTTATGGACAAGCTGTTAATATACGGTCAATTAAAACAGAGCGGTGTTAGGATATTTTCCGGCAGTGTCTAGGCCTGCTTTTTTCCTTCCCTTTCCTCTAAAACCTGCAGGAGCACCTGGTGGCAGGGTTTCAACGGTAAGTTTGCAATCCAATATGTCCTTATTTGTTTTTGGTTAAGTTTACGGCGTGATTTCTGTTCATGCAGAATATCAAATTTATATAGGATTATTGAGATTTGTGCGAGAAACCGATTTGCGAAGCAAAGTTGCCTCTTAAGGTGGCTACAGGCACAACTGCAAGCTTGTCCAGCATGCTTGTTCAATCTTTTTGTACAAGCACGCTTGAATGTAGGGAAATGTGGTGCAAGCTTTGTAATTGTACAAGCAGCTTCAGGATTGAATTGGCCTGGGCTTCGTTCCGACAAAGCCGAGTACCGTACAGTGAATCATATAAATATAATGATTGTGCCGAGTAGGTTTTTAGTTTTTTCACTTATTACCAAAGTTTTCAAGCTTGGACAAGTTGGCGTACGTTGATGATTGTATCCTGCTTGTGATGCAAGAGACAAAATGTTTACATACGTCTCTTCATTCATTCTAAGATAATTGTGCCAGTCTCGCAGATATATTTTCAGCTCACTTAGTAAGTTGTGGGAATAGGTTTTCCTTTTCATCGACCATACAATATATTTTATTAAACTACCTGTGTTTTTATTAAGCATACTTGTACGTGTGGTGTCAAAGGCAAACTGTGCATACTTGTAGATTGAATAAGCATGCTGGACAAGCTTGCAGCTGTGTCTCTAGCCACCTGAATAACATAGATCTACACTTGTCCTATTAGAATCTTACAAGACCCCGCATAAATCTAATGAAGACTGGCTTTTGGCTGTTTTTCTTTCCATTTAGTCTGTTGTAGATTTCAACATTTAGAACTAGTGCCCATGGTCCCAAAGTTTTTTGTGCGCGTATTCAGGGGTGGTGGTTGAGACTCAGGGCCCCCTTCCCTCCCTAGAGTTCTACAGCATAAAACGCTTTGCACATATAAAGCAATAATGGTATTTTTTTAGATAAATCTGTACCTCGCTGTAACTGGAAACTTATGTTTCAGCAGCTTTATTAATTTTATTCGCAATAATAAAAATCGATAAAACACTGGCCCTCCCGGAAAATTTTTGTGAAAATGAGGAAAATACCTAGTAGATGCACTTTTCTGGAAATGGCAAGGTACACAGTATACCAGTTGGGCAGTCGATACCCTATTACAAATGTATTGTAGGATCGGTACATGATTTGTAATAGCTGTTTGATATTTTTTCACATTATCATCTCTGCTGACCAAGTTACCAAAATAGCTGTTTTATCACATATCTAAGGTAGCACAAACTTACTGGGGTATTATTGCTCCAAGTCGCAAGCTTTTCTAAAAACTGGTTAGGATTAACATCGCTCACATTTGGAGTGAGAATTGGAACTGAGCAACCTGCAGAGTTACCAGTTTTCGGTAGATCTTCAGATATTTGTCCCAATTTTGATGCGAAATTTACGGAAAACTTTCGCAAATTCTCAAGTTGCTCTGAGATTTTCGAATTTTTGCAACACTGTGATCTTCAAATTTTTAAATAGCAGTGTCCCAGCTCTTTCGCTCTTTAATTTTCAAAACAGTGGAAGTTTATTGTCTACCTAAATCTACAAAAATTTTGGCAAATCTATTGAAACCGGATTGACTATATACACTTGGCAACACTGGCAACCTAGCATCATCGATTCAATCATTTAATTCATACAATCAGTGTTGCCCAATCTACCGAAACGAGACTTTATTTATGGAAAAAGACCAAATTTAAAGCTAAAAATGAATTCTGAACAACGACCCATTGAATTTGCAATAAAGATTTAAAAACCTGTTTAGGAACAAATGCCCTCAAAAAAATCTGAGTATCTACCGATTTTGTCCTTCAAGCTAGCGCATTTCAAATACCGATTTCGTATTTTTCAGTTAGGCAACACTGCATACAATGCAATCAGCTAAACAACATCATAGCCGGTAAATTTTTCGTTTCACAAAAAACATATATCATAAATGGAATGATATAAATACAGTTGTGCCTGATAAGTACTAATAGGAGAAATATGAGTGGGGCAGTCTACGGAGGCGGTATATCAAAGAAATTGAAATTTATATTGTTTACCATAACCCTACTGTTGTAGATGAAGTTGGTGCTTTGGTCTTTGATATTGGGCATAATACTGTCAGAGCAGGATATGCAGGGGAAGACAGCCCTAAGGTCGACATACCAACAACAATTGGCGCTTGGTTGAATGCTGATGATGACATATCCCTGACCCATTATAACATTGGCTTACTTGCGATACATGTTTGGAGATCTGGTAACTATCATTGGCAAATAGTTAATGTTGTTGGATACCTTCTAAAAGTTGCACAGCTTATACAGACGTGCATGTAGCTATAAGTTTCTCAAGCGAGAGAGCTTTTTAATATCTGTAGATTAATTTGTTTTTAAAAAATACGGGATGAGGTTTTAGAGTGGGTTGCTGCTTCCTATAGGGTGATCGGCAGATATGAAAAGAAGAATTTTATTCAGAAATAGAGTTTGTAAAAAGGATGTCCAAAACTAACAACGTAGGGGATGTTCAATTTGAAATGTTTGAGGAAAAGCGTATCTTGCGCTTATAAATACCCTGTATAGACAATGCATAAAATTTGAAAAACAACCTAATGACGAGAAACTATAGAATATGAAGCTCATTTGAATGAGAAGTTAACTACTCTATTTGCAAAAGTGAGTGATTTACAAACTTCTTTCTTTGAAAAGTCCATTCTGAATATGTCAAAATATACAGGGCATTCCATTTAAAAAATGTACAGTAATGGACAAAAGTATATAGACAAATTAATATTGTGCTGTATTTCTTTTTTAACTTGTTTTATTGATACACCAACCTGTATACATACTTCGTTATAGCATAATACTCACTTATACATAAATAAATTCATTGACTCTTGATTAATTGAAAAAACTGGAACTATTATGGACAAAAATATATAGACAAAGCAAAACAATTATAGAAAAAAGAAGCAAAGTTCATTGAATTATAGAAAACCAACCATGTTTGTGTTAATATTTTGTAGCATAATCATTATTATCAATCACTGCTTGGGATTCATCAATCTGTCTCCATTTTTGCTCTAAAGTGGCAAAAAGTTCATCCTTGTTTGAATAATTTTTATCTCGTATTTGCTTATCTAATTATTCCCATAGATTTTCAATGGAGCTTATATCGGGAGACTGTGAAGGCCATTTGAGAACTGGTATTCTTTCATCTAGAAAGAATTTATTTGCGATACTTCGGGTCATTATCTTGCTAGAAGACTGATCTTAAGGGCATATTGTCTTCCATATATTGTAACATGGCATGCTTTAGTATGTCTGTGTATACAAACTTATCTCTAATGCCATCTATTCTATGTAAAGGTCCCATCCCAAACCCCTAAAAGCACCCCCAAACCATAACAGACCCGCCTTCATGTTTGGCAGTGGGCAAAGTGTACTTGGGGTTCCATCCTTGTCCACTAGGAAGTCTAACGTAATGAACACCATTTGATCCAAACATATTGAAGTTGGATTCGTCACTCAAACATACCCTCTTCCAGTCACAGATGCTCCAATCAAGATGCAACCTTGCAAATTGTAATCGGTCCTTACGGTTTTTCCTCGAGATTATTCAATATTGTCCAAACTGCTTTACACTTCAAATTTTTGGCAATGTCAACTTGACATTGACCATCTTTGTATAACTCAATTATCCTAGTTTTCACATCGAAAGAAATGTCCGGACCACGCGGCGTGTTCTTAAAATCATTCAACTTATTCCACAATACCTGATGAACACAAACAAATCCTCTTCTGAAACGATGCTGTACTAAACTAATGTTGAAAAGAATTTGTCTACATATTTTTGTCCCTCATAAAAAAGTGCTTATATTCAGACTTGTATTGTGTTCATTGCAGATAATGTGTTTTTCTACTAATAACGCAATGAAGTATGAATTCGTTTTCTAAAGGTATTTAGGTAAATATTCATATTTGTCTATATACTTTTGTCCATTACTGTATATTGTGTGTTGCCATGCAGCTATGAATCACCCTGTAGACAGCACCATATTTTCCAGGTAAAGAGCATATATTTGCGTATAATTAGATATATCTTTCATAATAATTGAGCATTTATCAATCCCACACTAAAAACTTGCCCTCTATATATTTAGCCAATTTTTACAGACATGGAACTGGTATCCTTTCTGAAGGATGGGATGGTAGAGAATTGGGATATATTTGAGAACTATATGGACTATATATATAATACTGCACTGAAAGCAGTACCCAAAGATCACCCAATACTTTTGACTGAACCGCCATGGGTGACTGTGCCTAAACGAGAAGAGATGGCTGAACTGATGTTTGAAAAATACAACGTACCAGCTGTTTATTTGGCAAAAAATGCTAGTTTGGCTGCTTTTGCAAATGGTAGACCTACTTGCTTGGTTGTGGACAGTGGGGCTACCCATACCTCTGCAGTACCAGTTCATGATGGGTAAGATTTTCTTCTTTTGATATTTGATCCACCTTTTTCCCTGTAAATAATGCCATGTTTTTCTGAAATATCCTTTGTGTATATGAGATATTGACATTATTTTGGAACATTTTGTATATTAAATTCAAGAGGTATACACAAAAAATTTTGGTATCTCAGAAATCTCTCTTATGAGGCTTTCTTGGCTTCTTAACATGAAAGTATCCACTCTACTTATTTCTGTGATAAAAAAATGTAATAGAATACCGAGCTTGTTTATAACCACCAATTCAGTGAGTTTTTCTTCATTATTTTTGCTGTTTCTTGATTTGACTTTGGTCATGTTTTTCTCTAATGTCTCCAAGAAAGTTTGCCATATTTGTACAATTTGAACACATTTTAGCTACGTGTTGACCCAGGCGGTGGTGAAATCTCCCGTTGGAGGCGACTATCTGAGTACCCAGTGCAAAAATTATATAACTGAAAGAGGCATTGATATTGTACTTCCTAGCATGGTCGCGTCTAAGGAAGTTGTCAAAGCCGATGAAGCTCCAGTTTGGAAGAGGCGAAATATACCATACAACTTGACAGACAGCTGGTATAACTACATGGTTAAGGTAATTCCTTGCCATCCAGACAGATCCCAGACTTTCATTTTCTGAGTGGCAAAAAGTGGGGCGTTGTATATCATAATTCAAGAAATTTTAGCTTGTTTAGAAAAAATTACTGACCTACCACCAGTTGCTATGATTGAACTGATGATGTGTGCAAAGCATAATTTGAATAAGTTTGTTACAAATGCAGATTCACACAGGTGTGAAACTAGAGATAGAGACACCCTAGTTTTGCCTACTCACAATTTGTCACTTTTTGAAGTCCTAAAAATATATGGCAACAAAGTAATGAGTTAGAAGCAAGCATACTAGATGATCGTACACTGTCTTAATTTATCTTTATTATTTAGGAAGTGATGCAGGATTTCCAAGCTTCAGTGCTGCAGGTGTGTGATTCTTCGTATGATGAGGAGGTGGTGAAGTCCATGCCAGCCATTCACTATGAGTTTTCAAACGGATTCCACCGGGATTTCGGCGTGGAGAGGTTCAAAATTCCCGAACCTCTGTTCAACCCTACGGCTGGTGCAAAAGCTGGCATCCAACCTATACTGGGTGTTGGATCGTTGGTCACTACTAGCGTAGGGATGTGTGATATAGATATCAGACCGGTAAGTAATTTTTCCCATAACATTTTATTTATTTAAACTCTTACAAACACATTTGAATGCAGGAATGCTTACTGGCTAGTAGTGAAACAGAGAGAATACACAAAAACTTATAACTAAAAAATAACGACAAAGTAAAACTATAAAAATTAACAGACAAATAAAATGAGGTAAGCATGTTTTACTTAAATTTAAAATCAGTCTTAATTTGTCTCACAGTAGTCGAAAGGAGATCCACATCACAATTTTGTATACTTACACTCATACATCGTTCTATTGATAGAAGAACAACTTACAGGTGAACAATGAAAGAGTTTGTGGCCTCTTATTCTCAAGTTGCTTCTAGGAACAACAAAGAATATTTTATTTTTTAGGGAACACTTCTTATGTTTTAAATTATTAATTATGTAGTAAATGAACAAGATATCATTCAAACCACGCCTAACGCTCAACCGCACAATTTTAAATTCTGTTAGCGTGTCCTTAAGTACAGATATCAATAGTACATCCTTTATAGCATACCTCAGCAGGGATACCAGGCCCAGAACGCCTAGACCTGACAAAGTCCCAAAAGCCATTTGGATCAGTTTTTACATTTTTTCAATTTTTTCCTGTGTATTTTCAGCAAAATGCCAAAAATTCGCAACTTTCCGAACGTAAAAACCCTGAAATTTTACAAAGTCCCAGGTCTCGCATAAAAAAATCAGATCTGAGGTATGACCGGCCAAGCCAGGTTGTGGAATTTTAGCTTTGACATTATTATGGAAAAATATTAACCATTAGCACATTTTAAATTGAACTTTTTGTTTTCAGGCAATGTATGGCAGTGTCGTTGTAACAGGTGGAAACTCGAGTCTGCAGGGTTTCACCGAAAGACTTAACCGAGATTTAGCTGCTAAAACACCCCCAGTAAGTATAATCTGTTTGAAATTTGAGTAAATGGGGGGATTCAAAAAACGATTGTTTCTAGAGTAGAACAGCCTGCGAAAATCAAAAATTAAATAAACTACGAGCCCCTTCCCACCTCAGTTGGCCCACTTCAAGATTTGTACCAAAATATGCCTTTTGACGAAACTATTTACTTCTAAAACAATTTATTTTCTCAAAAACATTTTAGATACACTCTAGTCGTAAAAAATACATATTTGAAATCACTTAGACCTATAACTAGAACATCTGAACAAATAAACAATGTGCGAATAAATGCGCGAAGTTAACAAAGCAACAATTGAAAGATTACCATTGGGTAACATCACCTTTATTTTTATTACAGCTGAAATTCTTTGGGGCATAGCGTTAACCAAGTTTTTGCAAAAATTTGGTGTAAAACAATCCCATATTTCTTGAAGCTTTTCTCTCATTTCGGTGATTGTACGGAAGGATGTTGTCGTAGAACCTTTTCCATCTCGTGCCACAAAGTTTCAATAGGTGACAGATCTGGACTGCTAGAAACCCATTTCAAAAGTGGTACACTATTTTTTTCCATCCATTTTATAGCCTTTTTTGAGGTATGGCACGCTGCACCATCTTGCTGAAACACAAAATCTTGGTCGGATGTCAAACATTCTTTCATCACTGGTAAAAGCGATTCTTCTAACATTGCCAAATATTTGTTTTATTTCCATCAATAAAATGAAGTTTTCCTACTCCTTTTGATGACATACAGCCCCAGACCATAATGGATGCTGGAAATTTCACTTTTCTCTTCAGACAGTCAACATGGAGTGCTTCATTTTTTTTGCGAATAACTCTACTGCGACTGTCACCAACACAAACTTCGAATCGGGCCTCATCACTCCATTGTATTGCACACCATTGTTGAGGTGTCCATTGTCTATGTTCTTTAGCCCATCTAAGCCGATTTTTCTTTTGCAGTGGAGTTAATAGTGGTGGCTTTTCTTTGGCCTATAAACAAGTTGTGCCACTTTAGGGTCTTTCCTTCACTTTTTTTTATAAGAAAACTTACCTTGCAAGTGCTAAATCCCAGTTTGTGGGCCTCTCTATAAGTTGTGGAGCTCGAAATTCTCCTTCCACAGAGCACTTGATTGTAAATAATTGGCACGCCTGTTTTTCACGATTATTCTTCTTAATGCTCTTCGGTCGGCAGTTGTGATATTACTTTTTTTTCGCATATCGAGGCTTAGTATCAACTGAACCACTTACGTTATATCTTCTAACAATATTTCTCACAGTGTACCGCGATAAGTCTAACAAAGTTGCAATTTCTGAGTTTGATTTCCCAGAATTAAAACATTTAATCATCAGTAACCGAATTTTCTCACTAATAACCTTTCCTCTACCCATTTTGAAAACCTTAACTACCCAAACCTATTTTAAACGTATTCTGATAGCTGCGATATAGACTAACTTATTTTGCATTGAAATGAAAATAGGTTGATATGCTGTAATTGCAACATGTGTTATTTTTATGCTGCAAATTTGATTAGGGAGCGATAACGTTGGTGTTTTCTACTATATATTATCAAAATATTCATTGTTAATATTTTAAACCTATAACACCCTGCTACATTTTTATTATTTGTATTTGATAAGAAAAAAACTAAGATTTGAATAGTTGGGCCAACTGAGGTGGCAAGGGGCTCGTATATACTTTTGTCCATTACGGTTGTTTTCTGGACAGTATATTATGTGTTCAATTTTCTAATGATTTCTAATAAATTTCCCTGTAATGTGCATATTCCTGAATCATACTTCAAGGGCACCAACATTTCTAATATCTATCAGACTGTTTATCAAGGTGGTATCATTAGATGGGAAGTGTAGATTCAGCTTATTCGATCCTATTTTTCGAAACGCCTTTATGACATTTGTGTATAGAAACTTTTTTTTTTTCAGAGCATGAGACTGAAAATAATAAGTGCCCCCGGATCTTCAGAGAGAAGGTTCGGAGCGTGGACTGGCGGATCTATCCTCAGCTCATTGGGTTCCTTTCAACAACTTTGGGTTTCCAAACAAGAGTATGAGGAAACCGGTAAGGTTATAGTACAGTCTAAGTGTCTATAAGCAGTAATTAGCGTATTCTTTGAGAAAATGCCCAACTCTAGGCTGTATTTGCAGCAGTTGAATCGGTCAGTGCAAAAGCCTCGTCCTTTTATTTGAGTTTTCCGGGAGATAAACAAACCAAAATATTGTTGAAATTATATATTTAATTATTTATTTATAGGCTATTTTCAAAATGCAAGAAAAAAAAGCAAAAATAACTCAAACTTCGTTTTTGACGTTTCCGACGCTCCTGTTAATTTTTTGAAAAAAAAAATTATAAGAGCTCAAAATTGAGAATTGGTGGCTGTATGGGGTTGGGGGGTTGTAAATGTTACGTCAAAGACGTTCCATCATTAAGAAGCAACCAGAAAATTAAACTGGGTATTGGGAGTACGTACCACTTTGGCGTTCTGTGATACTTTTGTAAATAATGACTTAATTGTTTTTATATCTACACACATCTTTTTCTGAATTTTATGATCCCTAAATGTACCCCCTATTTCGTCTAACCTTCAAGTCGTCTTACTCAGTATATGATGGTTCCCAGGCTTATCAAGTAGATTAACTCGGTACTTATTACGCATTGATATACAGCAGACAAGTATAGAGTCAATCTACTTGACGCTATTTGTCTACGTTTAAGGAATTTGCTTTTATTTTTTTCCTTGAAAACGAAGTAAGATATGGAGTGATACCAAGAGACATAAAAGTTGTATCATTAGTTGCTTAATCCGAAAAAAAAACATTGTTTTAAAAAGTCAGTGGCGTACATTTTTTTGGCAATATTGTTCGTGAAACTGCCACTAGAATTCTTTATCATTTTCCAATTTTTTCTACCCGTGTTTTCACCCCTTTCACTCCTTTTGGTAAAAACATGAAGAAGCTGTAACTTTTTAGTTCTGTCACAATTGGAGATTACTTTTATAGATGTTAGAAATTAACGCTTGTCAGGATTAGACATTCAGAATCACCCCTGCTGCTGTTACCTGTTTTTCACAGGTTTTAAGAGTAGTTACGGATGACCAAACTGAACGTGAATTAAATCCGGAAAAATTATGGAGAACTTATGATTCGGAAAAGCATCGAACTTTGATCGAAAACTCCAGCCATTAAATTTTGGGGTAACTTGAACGTTTTCAAAAAATAAAAAGTAATGCCTCTTGATTTTTCATAACGATTCATTTTGAGGTTTGGGGAAACCTTTTTAGGTTTATTCTCGAGGTTCTTGGGGTTATTCTTTGACTTTCACCATTGAGATCTTGGAAACGGTGATACTAAATGTACTCATCGATTTCGTCTAACCTTCAAGTTGTCTTACTCAGTATATGATTTTTCCCAGGCTTATCAAGTAGATTAACTCGGTACTTATTACGCATTGATATACAGCAGACACAGACTGACAAATCGACGTAAATGAGAAACACCAAGTGGTGATGCAGATATCTTTAAGCAACAGAAGACTTGCGATATGTAGATGTTGAACATTTATAGTACCTAAGTGAACCTACCTAGTTTCGATTCTATTCCGCCTTTTGAAATGACTTGACTCATTACTTTGCTTTGAAACCTCCAACGAAGGCGTATAAGTATAGAGTCAATCTACTTGACGCTATTTTTCTACGTGTAAGGAATTTGCTTTTATTTTTTTCCTTGAAAACGAAGTAAGATATGGAGTGATACCAAGGGACATAAAAGTTGTATCATTAGCTGCTTAATCCGAAAAAAAAACATCGTTTTAAAAAGTCAGTGGCGTACATTTTTTTGGCAATATTGTTCGTGAAACTGCCCCTCGAGGCGCCACTAGAACTCATTATCATTTTCCAATTTTTTTTACCCGTGTTTTCACCCCTTTCACTCCTTTTGGTAAAAACATGAAGAAGCTGTAACTTTCTAGTTCTGTCAGAATTAGAGATTACTTTTATAGATGTTAGAAATTAACGCTTGCCTGATTAGACGTTCAGAGTCACCCCTGCTGTTTTACCTGTTTTTCACCGCTTTTAAGAGTAGTTACGGATGACCAAACTGAACGTGAATTAAATTCGGAAAAATTATGGGGAACTTAAGATTCGGAAAAAGTGTCGAACTTTGACCGAAAACTCCGGCCATTAAATTTTGGGGTAATTTGAACATTTTCAAAAATTAAAAAGTAATGCCTCTTGATTTTTCATAACGATTCATTTTGAGGTTTGGGGAAACCTTTTTAAGTTTATTCTTGAGGTTCTTGAGGCTATTCTTTGACTTTCAGCATTGGGATCTTGGATCGGATGAAAATTGAATTGCGCATGTTCCAGTGATCTCAATGACGAGAGTTGAATTTGAAAGCTGATATAGTTGTATGTGATTGCTGGTGCCACAATATGTATATTTGCGCATAGGTACATATTTCAATTGGATTGGGTATCTTCTGGTGGAATATGTTTATCACTGCTTTAGGACCTTACGACACCCTTTTGTTATTATTCCTTTATTTGCAACATTTTAAAAACTAGCTAAGTGTCATTTTTATGCTTATTCAAGATAATCTCTGAAGATGTACGAGGGTGGATCAAATATGAACCGGACTTTCGTTTTAGTAATTTTATTGGTATGGTGATCTCCTCTCTTATTGATGCATTTTTCCCATCGGATCGGAAGTTTTTTAATTCCCCCATTAAAGAATGAAGCTGGCTGGTCCACTTCGGCGCACCAAACCGACTGACGCCCCTCTTCCTGACATCGCCAATCCACATATACCGAGACGTCGCCTCAGTCCAAAGTTCGGTTCATATCTGATTCACCCTCGTACATTCCTGGTCATATGCTAGAAAAGCGTGAAAAAAGTTATTTTTCTTTAATTTGCATCTACATATATTGATTTTGCGATTTATTTTTTATCGAGCTATGAATAGTATTGCTAGCCCACTAACCTGTCGTCCATTCCTTTCGACATTTGGCTTTGGGACTGACTGATTTACTTCTGAGCATTTCCATTTTTGTCTATCATTTGTTACATGTATACATAGAAGTTCCTAGTCGAGTTTTGATAAAGGGCTCTTTCTAACATTTGAAGTTTTCTGGGTACCAGACTTAACTCACGAAGGCAATATTTCGCTTATTTTATGACATAATGTACCAATTCAAAAACAACGAATTGTTAAATTTGCAAATACACAGCGCACTCCAGAAGCTCAAGTTAAGTATATATGTTACGTAATATTGGCTTGTTGACCTACAAGTTTAGAAGCACCGATTGAAGACTTTCGGTATTCCATATAATTTTACGTATCTGATTATGCGTTTTTTTTTATTTTCGACATGGCATGGTGATGAGGTAAACATTCTGAAATGTTGTTATAACATTGAATTAATCTTGCAATGCATTGCCTGGTTTAGATGGAGTATTAAACATTCCCAACTGAATTTGTTTCAGTGAATAATTTTTTTTTGAACTTCAATAACACTTGGAAATCTTGCAACATTTTTTGCTAAATTCCTTAACAGTGCTTTTCAAAAAGGTTCTTTCCTTTCTACTTATTTTTTTAAATTTATCGAGCTGAAATTCAATTCAATAACACTTGGGGGGGGGGGGGCGCTATTTTTCTACGTGTAAGGAATTTGCATTTATTTTTTTCCTTGAAAACGAAGTCAGATATGGAGTGATACCAAGAGACATAAAAGTTGAATCATTAGCTGCTTAATCTGAAAAAAAACATTGTTTTAAAAAGTCAGTGGCGTACATTTTTTTGGCAATATTGTTCGTGAAACTGCACCTCGAGGCGCCACTGGAATTCCTTATCATTTTCCATTTGTTTTTACCTGTGTTTTCACCCCTTTCACTCCTTTTGGTAAGAACATGAAGAAGCTGTAACTTTTTAGTTCTGTCACAATTGGAAATTACTTTTATAGATGTTAGAAATTAACGCTTAATTATGGGGAACTTAAGATTCGGAAAAGAGTCGAACTTTGATCGGAAACTCCAGCCATTAAATTTTGGGGTAACTTGAACGTTTTCAAAAAATAAAAAGTAATGCCTCTTGATTTTTCATAACGATTCATTTTGAGGTTTGGGGAAACCTTTTTAGGTTTATTCTCGAGGTTCTTGGGGTTATTCTTTGACTTTCACCATTGAGATCTTGGAAACGGTGATACTAAATGTACTCACCGATTTCGTCTAACCTTCAAGTTGTTTTACTCAGTATATGATGGTTCCCAGGCTTATCAAGTAGATTAACTCGGTACTTATTACGCAGACACAGACTGACAAATCGACGTAAATCTTGCAACATTTTTTACTGAGAGGAGGGGGGTACGTAAATAAATTCTTTTACAGTGCTTTTCAAAAAGGTTCCTCCCTTTCTACTTATTTTTTTTAATTTACCGAGCTGAAATTCAATTCAACAACGATTGAAAATCTTGCAACATTTTTTCCTGGGATGGGGGGGTCACGTGATATCTAATTTTGAAGCTTCTTTTCAATACTTTATAGCCTAAAATATGAATTCACTGTCTTTCAAAGTTAGGGGCTAGCGGAATCGTTTATAACAAAAGAATAATCAAAATTCTTTTTGGAATTCCCGTTAAATTTATTCTAAATAAATTCTGTGGTTGTGATATTGCTAGACTTGACATCAGCATTAATTATATATTCATGTCGCATAACTAAGGCAGGCAACAGGTGACAATGCGATTATACTTTTTACAAAGAGCAAAAGAGGTGGGTAAAGATCGAAGAACAGTCTCGATTGAGGCCGCTTTGTTATACCTATATTAAATTTAATATCGTACATCCTTGTATCCCCCTAGAGCCCCACGGTATCCCATGGGTGTTTAAGCCTTAGGCCTTCGTGGTCCTTGGAGCATACAAAAAAAACAAGCGATGTTGTCTCTCGCCTACCAGTTAATTTACGTGCAATAGTATACTTTTTTTCGTCAGTATTACTTTATATTTAATCTACGCTTGCTTTTACGTGATTTATTAGGCCTGGCTACACTTAATTTTAGGAGGGTGATTGAAGCCTTGCTAACTAGTCAAAAAGATGAACTTTAAATGTTCCCCGACCAATATGATTGGCGTTCCTTTCGCAGTGCTTCCATCATTTCTACAAGTGCTTTCAATTTTGAAATTTAGATTTTTATCGCACACGCGATTCATACGATCTTGGAGGTTGGTTGAATTTCCTAAACATTTGTCATCTGGTTCACCTTTTTGCTGTGATGGGTACAGAGCACTATAGCCTAATCATATTAGACGAAAATTCCCATGCGAAATAATAGTAAAGTTTGGTTTTATTGATGCAAGTCGTTCAAGGGGGTATTTAAAACATGGACGCTTAAAATGGGTTTTTGGGGATTCAAGCGAAAGTGTTGGCAGGCATGAAAAAACTCTTCATATAAGATTTTTAGGTATTTATGATTCCTACAAAATTATACCACACGTAAAAAGATCCGACTAATAGCAAAAAAGTTATGGCCGAAAACCGAGGCAAGCTGCAGGTACTTGTAATGCAGATGTCTGAAATTCTTCAAATTCGTTCTTCTAAATAACCACAACAAAATTGGAGTAGATTGGTCAAGCAGTTTTTGAGATAAACAATTAGAAATTCTCAAAAATTACTTGACCAAAATACTCCAATTTATTATTAAATTATCGTCGCATTACCGAGTGCCAAAACCTGCATTTTGCTTCGTTTTTCCGTTATAACATTTTTGCTATTATTAGGATCCTTTTATGTATGGTCCCATTTTGTAGGTCTCATAAATATCTAAACATCTTATTTATATTTTTTTGTTCCTGTCAACACTTTCGGTTGAATCCCAAACAACACATTTTCTCATTCTTTGTTGTCGAAAAAAAAGTTTTGCCACAAAAGTTGGTGTGCCCATTTTAAGCGTCCATGTTTTAAATACCGCCGTGAACAACTTTAAATTTGCTAATATGATTAGACTACTACTTTTTGGTTAACAGGACAGTTTCCGTTGTCTGTCTCCAATGAAGATAGTACCGATTATTGCTAAAAAGCATGAAACAAGACCGTATGGTCACTGAGACGGAAAACAAGCCGATTCTAGGATGAGAATTATGTCAAAAACCCTACTTTTAGTTTGGTCTTGAAAAATGGATAATGTGGTATACTTTAGAGATTCGGCTAGTCCTCAAAATATCATGAATCGCGTGCGTGATTCTTTGTTTTGACCATGGAACAAAACAGTCTAAAATTCTATTATTTTTAACGAAATTTCACGACTGAAGCCTTCAGTTACTTTGCACATTCGTTTATTGTTGTAAAATATCGACATTTCTGTTTTTGTATATTTATACAGGGTATTTACTTTCTGTGTTATGCGTGGCTTTAATTGTATGTGAATAATACAGGTCAAGTTTTTGGCGTGGGCTCTGTTATATTTTGCGTATAGTATCAAAAAAGAGAATTACAAATATTGTAGCCAACGGTATGCTCTTTACTTGGAAAATATTTTTATCTCTACAGGATGATTCATAGCTATGCTGTGACCCAAGCATGCAATCTTTTTTCATTGCAGTTTTGAATACACCCATTCAAACGAAGCAATTGGAGATAACATACTATGGGATCCTATTTCCAAATTGTTGGGATATTTGATGATCTATCGAATAAAATACTGAACTTGGAGAACTCGCTCCTCCGCTAGATGACTGATTTTTTCGTTAATAAATTTTATGATCCCATATTTTCTCCCTATTTTCTTACTTTTTCAGTTTTTTTTTGATAGTTTATACCGGGTAAAGAACGCAAAATGAACGATTTCTCGATATTTTTAAATAAACACCCTGTAGATTATCGTGCTTCTTGATTTCTCTTTTCATAAGCTTTTTTCTGATATCAGGGTTTGTATGACTGGATTTTGAGTTGCAAAAATATGACTCCCTTTGACTTTTCGATTTATAAGGCTAGGTGGATTTAATTTATAATGAAAATACAGAAATTCTGATGATCTGCCGTCACCAACTGAATGCTATTTTTTAGTTTGAAAGTTATTGCACTACAGGGTGTCCGCAAAGTTGGGGTTTTCCTTTTTAGAAACAACTACCCTTGAAATAACAAAGGTAATGTGTAGTGAAACGAGGGCGACCAAGTAAAAAAAAAATAAAGGAAAAAGTACTCACTGTCCAGTTGACGAGAAGGGCTAAGTACGTCTCTGCCCGAAATCATACCGCTCCAACAGAAAATGAAATCAGCTGATGCGCTACCGAGCAGACGCAGAAACCACATTGATTGTCTTACACTTAATGGCACATCTTCTAACAAGGAAGGCAAAATGTTGCGTAAAAGTCTTTTTGATGTTGCAGAGCCCTTTATCTCGGTTCCCTTAAGACATTGGTGTATATGGTACTACGAAAAATTGCTTATGTTTTCAAGATCTACACGTCGTGTAAAGGAAAACCCCAACTTTGCGGACACCCTGTATTGTCCGTTCGCCTTGATGTCTGATTTACAAACAGGTTAGTTTTAACCTAGAAACCGGTCATACAAAATACCAAAAACCATATGTCAATAAAAAGCGTGTGGAACGGGGGGAATGAAGGAGTGTGAAAATACACAGGGTGTTCCATTTAAAATTCTTGAGAAATCGTTCACTTTGCGTTTTTGAACACTGTATACACCAATAAAAAAACTGAAAAAGTAAGTGGATAGGAACAAAATATAGCATCATTAAATTAAAAAAATTAAATGCAATTTTTTTGTCATCGCAGAGATGTTAATCACCTAGAATAGAAATATTTTCCAAGTCAGGAGCATACTGTTGGCTACAATTTTTGTGATCAACTCTTTTATGAGTGGTAGGTACCCTTTGCTTGTCCATAGAGTGGCAACAGAAAAAATACGCTAAAAAAGATGAAATCTACAGACAAAGAAGCTACAGAAACAATGCAACGCGATTTAATGTAACACCTGAAACTTATTGACGACACAAAGTGCCATCTATTACCAGAATCGACTACTGCTAGAACTGCATCCTAGCAAGCGTTCATCTCTCGGACTCCAAACGGCCAACGGTGGACAGCTGTTTCGTGCTTTTTGGCAACTCATCAGCGTGGTCTAGGACAAAGCAAAGCCGAGTAACTTATCCGGTGCTTTCGTGGATAAGTTCCAGGTGTTACATTATATGTATACAGGGTGATTCGTAAATCGTGACCAAGAATGAAACATACACAGGACCGCATTTAAAGGGGGTCTTCTATGTAACATTTTTTTCCTCGAGGACTTCGCCCAGCGCAAATAGTTTTACTGCGACGATAAAATCACGAGCAAAAAAGTTTTTGCGTCGTAAAATTTACGATGGTCAGTATTCCAGCGTCAAAAAGATACGGGGTGTTGAAGTTTAAAAATAAAAAAACATTTTTTTTTAATATCTTCAAAACCGTCAACTGGCATAAACTAAATTTTTTTAGGTGGATTTACCTAAGTATTATCCACGTTTAAAAGTCTTCACTTGAAATTAACTTGCACCAGTGGCGAAGATACTGTTGATAAGTGGCATTATTGTTCCAAATGAAAAAAGTACGCCTCTGTTTTTTTTTGCGCAATTTTTCAATTTGCTACAAATAGTTACTCTTGTGTTTTTTCCTAGAGTGCATTGTTTTCGTAATAATAAAAAAAACAAATTAGTAAAAGCCTTTGGGGTAGGTTGACGTCTGTTAGGAAATCTACGTTGTTACTTATGAGAAGCCTCTAAAGCATTTCCATTACAGAACACGTACACAAAAATAATATCGGCGACATTGCTAAATTTCCATTTCACACCAAAAAATGGAAAAAATAAACTTTTGACTTGACTTTTATAAAAAAAAGGTAGTGGTAACGATGACAACCGTATAACACAGGACAAAACATCTCCCAAGAAACGTCAAGTTGGTATCAAGGCCTCCTTTTTTTATTGTGAAACTAATTGTATCTTGGCTCTTCATGGATGATCTAATTTGTTTTAATTGTATTTTTACGAAAACAGTGCACTTTAGGAAACAAACAAAAGAGTAATTATTTGTAGCAAATTGGAGCTAAAATTCGAAAAGTTGCGCTTTTCCGAACAAAAAAAAAACAGTGGCGTACTATTTTTATTTGGAAAAATAATGCCACTAACCCCTGTATCTCCGCCACTGGTGCATGTGAATTTCAAGTAAAGACTTTTGAATGTGGACAATACTTAGAAAAAATCCACGTACCAGATTTTGATTCCAGTTGACGGTTTTGAAGATATTGTGTATGATGTTTTATTTTTGGTCACGACTTGTGAATCACCCTGTATATATACATGTTGTCTCAAAAATTATGGAACGTATTTCTTTGCAGCATCTGAATGAGTTTTATAAATTTTGGGACATGCGATATGTTTTCGTAATCTTAGAATATTGATTGCCACTATTTCTTGAAGTAAATATCCGGTATTTTTAGATACTCGTTTAAAATTGATGTTCCTATTAGTGTTCGGTTTGTTGATTACATTTCAACTGTTCAAAAGGCTGATTTTTTATTATTTATATTCGTAGATATTTAATTCCAATGTATGTGATTACATTTTGATGTGCCAATAAATTTTTCTTAGTGGATTGTATTTTGATCTAAGAAGGTCACTTTTAACCATTCCTTCCTTTTTGTGCGATAAACCCATTCACAACTTCGCATATGACAGCACTGTACATGCAGGCATTCAGAGTGTCAAATCGATCTCTGTGCTGGAGCTAGAGAGAAGACACCATTTTCCTAAGATGTAAGTACTTATAATGTAAAATGTTTTTAATGATCTTCTGTACATTTTGGTAAGAACTAGTAATATAGCTTTCGTTCGTCCGATCACAGATGGCCAAACGAAAGCTATAGTACTAGTACTAAGGGTACTAAAGGGATTTCCATTAAGGACTTGACAACTTTCTTTTTAAATAAAACGAAAACTATTTGAGGTACAGTAATGGACAAAAGTATATAGACAAATTAATATTGTGCTGTATTTCTTGTTTTATTAATACACCAACCTGTATACATAATTCGTTATAGCATAATACTCACTTATACATAAATAAATTCATTAGACTGCCTTGAATAAAAAATTAATTGAAAAAAAAACTGGAACTATGGACAAAAATATATAGACAAAGCAAAACAATTATAGAAGAAAGAAGCAAAGTTCATTGAATTATAGAAAACCAACCATGTTTGTGTTAATATTTTGTAGCATAACCATTATTATCAATCACCGCCTGGCATCGTCTCGACATAGATTGTAGAAGTTTCTTGATATAAGATTCATCAACCTGTCTCCACTTTTGCTCCAAGTCGGCAAAAAGTTCATCCTTGTTTGAATAATTTTTATCTCGTATTTGCGTATCTAAGTATTCCCATAGATTTTCAATGGGGTTTATATCGGGAGACTGTGAAGGCCATTTGAGAACTGGTATTTTTTCATCCAGAAATTTATTTGCGAGTGTGCTTCGGGTCATTATCTTGCTGGAAGATTGATCTTAAGGGCATATTGTCTTCCATATAGGGTAACATGACATGCTTTAGTATGTCTGTGTATACAAACTTATCCATAATGCGATCTATTCTATGTAAAGATCCCATCCCAAACGCATTTGTTTATGGAGCACTGAAGTATGAATTCGTTTTCTAAAGTTATTTATGTAAATATTCATATTTGTCTATATACTATTACTGTATCTCGAAAATTTTATCGTTGGAATGGAACATTTATGTATTGGAATTCGACATCGTACAATATTGATTTAATGTAGCCCCACAAAAATAGTCTAGAGGTGTTAAATCGCACGATCTAGGCGGCCATTCGATAGGACCATTTCTCGATATAACAGGTTCACAGAATTTTGATATCAATATGTCGATTGTTTCACCCGCGGTGTAGCTTGTGGCACCGTCTTGTTGAAACCACAAAATAAAGAACCGAAAAGAAAACGGCCCAATGAACCACCGGCATGAAAACCACACCATACAGTTATTTTTTGTGGATGAAGTAGTATTTCTGGAAGCACATGAAAATTGGCGTTAACGCTCTTAAAGCTGCTGTCACCGACTCGGAATTTCGGTAGTAAATTTTAATTCTTTGTAAGCGTTGTCCGTTCGTGTACTTCATCATGATGAAGATCTTTTCTTTACTGATTATTTTGACATTGACAGTTCGGCAATTGATTTGAAGGTGCGTTTACAGTGAAAGTTCGAAGTTGTCCAGTCCCTATTGGGAAACCCGACATAAAAGTTTTGCAATCAAGCTTTATTCATTGACTTGCCTCTGTTTGTTAAGTTATATTGCAAAACTTTTATTGAACCCTTTGTATGTTCGATGGCGAGTAAACCGTATCTGCTAACTATAATACCAGACTCGGCGACATCTTTGTCTTGTATTAGTACTTTTAAATAAAAGTTTTTGGCGTAACTGTAGATGTTTATCACTTATCATGAATATCTGGACACAGGGACATTTTACTAATGTAGATTCTGGCTGCATGGCTCAGTATAATAGCAAAAAAGAAGTATTTTCAATAATATACTTTAAAAGCATTTTTTTTTTATACAGGGTGATTTTGAAGTTGCGTCATTAATTTTCAGATAATGATTGTAGAAGGAAGATAAACCAAAATATGTGTGTAAAAATAAAAAAAAAATACAAAAAAATATGTTACCTTGTTTTATAAAATATCCTCCCGATAAGTATTTCAGTTCGGACCTGTATTTGATCGTGCGGTCTTGGAGCACCGGCATGCCCTCCCCTGTGAGGTCTTAAGTCACCTGATTCACGAGCCCTTTGTACTACATTAACAAAGGCACGAGGGGTTGGTTGCGCTCGATTGGGAAACCGATCCGCATAAATCCGTGATGCCGCGGCAGCATTTTGTAAAGACCGCCCGTAAATAAGAATCATGTCCACAAGTTCAGCATTTTCGTAAACATGTGCCATTTTTTATTTCGTTTGAGCCACCATTCACTCACTATTCCCTCACGCGTTACCGACTGACACATTGACTGAATACAACTGAATAAAATTGTAGTAAAAACATCGTGATAAGCGATTCAAATTCTTTCGCTTTTTTGTTTCCGATGCGATGAACCGATAAGGCGGATTATATCCGTTGTTGCCAAACACGAGCACATAATATTATTATTGAGACAGGGCGATACTCAAACTTCTAAAGGGCTATAACTTTGTTACTTTAATTTTACCAGAAAAATGTTAAAGGAAAAAAACATTTCTTTTGATCAGATCTACTCACTGTTAAAATAAATGACTCAACTTCGAAGTAACCCTGTATATGAGCCAAAGGCAGTGAGATTGGTCTAATTTATTTAAAGCAGTCGTGGCTTGGTAGGACGACGAAAGAAATGAAATTTAAAAATAAAATATTTTATTTTCACAAACAAAAATACTGTCACAAATTATTAACACAGTAAAGTAAGTACGATAAAAATATCATGTTCCCATTGGTAAGTCGCATATTGCGTTGTGTGCTACTATGGCAAACAGCCCTGCCATTAAGATGCCTATACTGTCTCCAAATGTTGTGATGGCTATGGAAAACTGCTTTTCGTCTTCAGGCACCTGCAAAATGAGAGTGATGAATGGGAAAATTAAAAGATACATTTTCCTTAATATTATGACTTGAAGAAGTAGTAGGAATGTCGAGAGGCGATGTCTGGTATTTTGATATTTAGGTTAATATTTCGTGAGTTTTCTAATCCCTCAAATATTTCCTAACTGCGGTCAATTTTTCGGGGACTGTTGACTTCTAAGAAAGGCTGATACCAAGAAGTTCCTGTCCAGGCCCGCATTTTACCTCTGTCCAGTTGGACAGCTGTTGATAACGAAGCACCAAGACCAAAAGTATGTCCATCGAAACGTAGTACATTGCATTGAACATCGACGAAAAGCTGATAGGGGAGAATCACGAAAAGGAAATGCTTTTTCACAACATCAAGCAGAGCTGAGCAAGAATTTCTTGTACACAATTAATCTAGCTGGATAAGAACTGATTTCTCCGCGGGGTCGACCCGGAAACTTTCTTTACGCTAGCTAGACATTGGAATACGTAACATGGATGGACGCATGATCCTTTGGTAACATCCGACAGAGTTAAGCAAGAACTTCCATATGTAATCTTCGAAGTGTACAATTAACCTAGCTGCTTCCCTTCTAGGTATTAAAATAGACTGTGGATACATGACCGTGTCAAAAACGTTTTTTGGGGATTAGGAAGCTCACGAATATAGAAATGAGTTTAAATACCGTACACATTTCTTTTAATCCTTGTGGTTGATGGAAAAAGTCTAGGAGTGCTGCTGTGGTGGTACTTCCATGTCTATGTCTCAATCGATCCGACAGTTAGACCCTAGCCGCTATGGGGACTCCATCATTGTAAGGTGGAATAATCTCACGTAGCGAACAATGAAGAGGTTGACCTTCTATTTCCCATAGGTCTTGCTGTTCTCGCTGATAGTCGAAACGTTGTTGCTATATTTGGGTCGCCTAATTCCACAAACCTCTAAATCCACTTTAGGATATTTTTTAGGGAACCCGTTTGCTGTTGGCCACGAAAAAAATCAAATTGGAGTTCTTATGTGCAGAAATTGGCAGGTGGTAACACAACGTTTGAGATTTTGTTTGCGGGAAAACCAGACTTTTTAGTTTTTTAATAAAGAAATTTTCTTGGATTCGGATATTTTTGAAAATGACTTACGATTCAGGAGGTTTCACTTAACTGTTTAGATGCGCTTGCAAGGTACACGATCTGACGACAAAAAATTTGATAAAGGTGTACTGCTTTTTTATTCCTCCATACTATTCCTACTAGAACTACTGTTTTTACTATTATTTTTTGAAGTCAAGTATACATATATGGGTTTCATATGCTCGGTTCTTTGATACAGAGTAAATGGGTACAGAAATTTTAGAGTACTGCTTATATTTTGAAACTACAGGGAAAAGAAATTAGTGCCGCCTGTTTTTCGGGACCTTTGTTGTTTCTCTGAAGATTGGGTAACCAACCCCAGTGGGATGGGAGCTACACTGGTTCTGATACAGCCACCCATGAGAGACGCCAAGATGCTTACACGAAAAATGGTTCTCGCAGTACAGAAATCTTACAGTACTGCTAATATTTTGAAACTACATCCTAAAAAAATGAGTGCCGCCTGTTTTTCGGGACCTTTGTTGTTTCTCTGAAGATTGGGTAACCAACCCCAGTGGGATGGGAGCTACACTGGTTCTGATACAGCCACCCATGAGAGACGCCAAGATGCTTACACGAAAAATGGTTCTCGCAGTACAGAAATCTTACAGTACTGCTAATATTTTGAAACTACAGCCTACAAAAATGAGTGCCGCCTGTTTTTCGGGACCTTTGTTGTTTCTCTGAAGATTGGGTAACCAACCCCAGTGGGATGGGAGCTACATTGGTTCTGATACAGCCACCCATGAGAGAAGCCAAGATGCTTACACGAAAAATGATTCTCGCAGTACAGAAATCTTACAGTACTGCTAATATTTTGAAACTACATCCTAAAAAAATGAGTGCCGAATGTTTTTCGGGACCTTTGTTGTTTCTCTGAAGACTGGGTAACCAACCCCAGTGGGATGGGAGCTACACTGGTTCTGATACAGCCACCCATGAGAGAAGCCAAGATGCTTACACGAAAAATAATTCTCGCAGTACAGAAATCTTAAAGTACTGTTAATATTTTGAAACTACAGGCTAACAAAAAGGGTGCCGCCTGTTTTTCGGGACCGTTGTTGTTTCTCTGAAGATTGGGTAACCAACCCCAGTGGGATGGGAGCTACATTGGTTCCGATACAGCCACCCATGAGAGAACCAAAGATGCTTACACGAAAAATAATTCAAAGGAGTACTGTGTCTTATATTAAGTACTTTTTAAACTTACCTCTGTTGATATCCTGTAGAATGTGTTGACATAGGAAGATCCTCCTAACAATCCTTCCCATAATACTAGTGCTACTACCCAATAGTAGTTTGGTATATAGAAGTACAAAACTTCTGTTGTGAAGATGATAACATTTATTCCCTGGAAAACATAAACGTCGATTTTGACGTATTTTGAAATACAGGTCCGACAGAACACTATTTGAAACACATTAAGCTACATACACAGCAATACAGCGTTATGACTAAGAATTTTTTGAGATGTCTCATTTTGTATGCTTTTAAGGGAAGAGTTAGTAAAGCGAGAAATAAATTACTTACTTGGAGTAAAGCAAAAATATATGTCTTTTTGATATGGAACAAGTTTACAGAGGATCTGGACAAAAATACTCCAACTTGGTATGTAACTTGTAACCATCTGTATTGGCTGCCTGCGTCTATACCTGCATCTTTGTAATTTGTTAGCTCAAACTGGAAAAGAAAATGAAAAATTGAAGAACTTTATCAAGCAGATTGATTTCGTACTATTAATGCTGATACTCATTTTTAAACTTTCCCCTGAAATGCCCATTTTCTCATGGTTTATTTGACGTTTCTTCACACAGTGAACCCCCTAGACGCTCAGGTCTATGAAATGTCTGATAAGTCAAACAAACGATATATTATCCATGCTCAATGCTGTCCAGAAGAGGGCTGTCCGACTGATCGATGACTCTTTTTTAAAAGATAGCCGCTATACCAACGGGCTTTGCTCCTCAATGAAGCGGCTGCTGGTATATAAAAAAGATAGTAAAAATGCTGACCATTCCTTGGTTTATGAAATATTCGAAGAGATACACTAAGAAGAATGGTATGATGTACTTCATGAGTCCTGGAATCAGAGATATTTTCTTTCTGATAGCATGGATCGGGTTTTTCATTTCCTCACGATTTACTATCATTTGTATTTCCAATGCTTGTGCTATATCGTCTACTGAAGGTCTTGGAAGTAGAACCCAGAAACTGAAAAAAAAACCGATATCAATTCATCGTTTCATAAAACAGGCGTCAAAACTAAGGTCAGACTAATTTTTGAGCTACGAATGTGCTGCTTGGTCCAGGGGGAAATGCAAGAGTCCACAAATCTACATGTGCACGCACACTAAGACGAAGATGTCAAGAAATGGTCCATAATAATTAGCAATTGTTTAGCAAAACTCAATGAATCTACCACACTTTCATCTTTCCACACTTGCATCGAATTTCTATGGTTCTATGGTATTATTTCCCAGCGTTCTAGAAAAGCATACAAAAATGCTTGGTAATAGGTGGCCATTGTATGGTATCTATTTATTTATTATTTTAGGTTTATTTTCATAGAGGTTGCAACGAATGTGATTTGCGACTTCTCGTGAAATAAACCCAACTTAATAAAACACATCTCAGCAGTCTGTATGTCTTGCAAGTCATATGCATGTTTTTCGAGTCGGAGGATTTTCTTTTCTTAGTGTCTGTGTTGGTTGAACTTTTGTTGTTTGTGGACGTTTAGCAAATGCTGTCGCCTCGTTAGAGGAATCTTTGAAGTAGTGTGCGCGAATTTTTATGCTCAGTGTATACGAGAAACAGTGGGACAGCCATACTCGTATGTCATATCATTTAAGGTGAATAGAGAAGTATATAAAAAACTTACGATATAGCCATTGTAAGTGGAACTATCAACATTATCAACAATGATGTACGCATTCCGAGCCTTTGCAAAATGGAGTAGGAAAGTGCACCCACAATGCCTGCACCCCCAGTGCCCGAACTCCATGTTGACAGAACATTTCTGAAATAAAAAATGTTTGAGTCTTAACACAAAAAATGTCATATGAAACTTCCTTACAGAGATACAGATCCATAACTATATCCTTAATTCAACTAGATTTTGACACAGTAACAAATAGGTATAATGGCGTATATACCAAAATGGCCAGAAATGGTCAGAACTCTAACCTAAACCTGTATTGTATAATAATAGTCCGAAAACAATATTTTTGGAATCCCGATCTCCCAATTCTGTTACATCTGTTAGGTAATAAATAAAGTACTTACTTATTATAGAACGTACTATATTGGAGATACGTGACTTCACCTAATCCGGAACAAAATGACGTCAGCACTACTCCAATAAGCGACATCAAAAAACTATTGCTAAATGCAACCGACAAATATCCTGCTGATGCTAATATCACACAAATTGCTACTCTTACACTGCAACATAGAAATACGATATACGGTTTAAGGTTCGACGATATATGTGATGAAAAAATTTCGAAAACCATTAAATGACTAGAAAGTAAGGGATTAAAGTATATCTACGCGACTTAGCCTTAAAGATTATCAACAAGTATGTATTTCCAAAATTCCGACGAATGTACATTAGTAAAGCTGCAGCTATTTATATAGCCACCTGAGGTATGAGTTGCATTGATTACAAAATGAAAAATACTCACTTGACAAAAAATGGAATGAAGGGAGCGATGAATTTACAAATTAACCCAGGCAAAATATCTGCCAATAAAATAGCACCCGTAGACATGTAGGTACAGTCTCTTTTATCACTATGTATCTGAAAAATAAGAATATTACAGGTACAGCTACATAAAGTTTGGCATCCATAATGTTACTAACTACACTATTTTTTCAACTACCATACATGAGTTCATCATTATAATAGGACTTGCTTTAGCTATTTTTGATAAAGAATGCAGCAAATTGACGCAATATTTCCCACTTAACTGATATAAGTAACTTATTCGAATTTTAAGCTACACGAAAATTTCAAACATCTTCAGGAGTAAGTGAAAAATTGTAGGTATACTATGCCTTAAAGTGGTGAGAAATTATTTTACTATTTACGCTGTGTAATTGGAGACGCTGACGTTAAATATGGCCATTTAAAGATTTTATCGTATCTCGAAGCCTTGGATATCTCGGAACATTCCGTCCATCTTAGCGGAAAGCTAGTATCATATTCTTGATCCACACACCCGATTTACCCAGGAAACAGGTTTTGGCTTAGATTACGGGTTCCTAAGGATTTTTGGAAATTTCTTGCGTCTCAAAGCTATAAAGTTAAAGGGCCATTTTCTACTGAAAATTGATTGACGTATAGAAATGGACCTCTTGGAATATTCGTCCATCTTAGCGGAAAACTAGTATCATATTCTTGTTCCACGCATTCGATTTACCGATGACACACGCTTTGATCTACACCTAAGGATTCTTGGAAATTTCTTGGATCTCGATGCCATAAGGTTAAAGTGCCATTTTTCTACTGCAAATTGGAGTATAGAAATGGACCTCTTGGAATATTTTGCCGATCTTGGCGAAAAAACTAGCATCATGTTCTTGTTCTACGCACTCGATTCACCTAGAAAACAGGTTTTGGTCTACATTAAAGATACCTAATTAGTCTTCGAAGTTTTTTGCATCTCGAAGCCATAAGGTTGAAGAGCCACTTTTCTACTGCAAATGATTGGAGTATGGATATCTTGAACATTGCGTCCATCTACGCGGAAAACTAGCATCGTATTCTCAACATATTCTCAAACAGGTTTTGGTCTACATTACAGATACCTAAGAATTCTTGGAAATTTCTTGCTTCTCGAAGCCTTAAGGATAAGGGGCCATTTTCTACTGCAAATTAATTGGTGTATTAAAATAGTCCTCTTGAAACATTTTGTCGATCTTGCGAAAAACTAGCATCATGTTCTTGATCTACGCACCCGATTTAAAGAGAAAACAGGTTTTGGTCTACATTACAGATACCTAATTAGTCTTGGACATTTTTTGCGTCTGGAAGCCATAAGGTTAAAGAACCACTTTTCTACTGCAAAGGATTGGAGTATAGACATGGATATCTTGAACATTGCGTCCATCTTCGCGGAAAACTGGCATCATATTCTCAACATATTCTCAAAGAGGTTATGGTCTACATTACAGATACCTAAGAATTCTTGGAAATTTCTTGCGTCTCGAAACCTCAAGGATAAGGGGCCATTTTCTATTGCAAATTGATTGGTGTATTAAAATAGTCCTCTTGGAACATTTTGTCGATCTTGCGAAAAACTAGCATCATGTTCTTGATCTACGCACCCGATTTAAAGAGAAAACAGGTTTTGATCTACATTACAGATACCTAAGAATTCTTGGAAATTTCTTGGGTCTCGAAGCCTTAAGGATAAGGGGCCATTTTCTACTGCAAATTAACTGGTGTATTAAAATAGTCCTCTTGGAACATTTTGTCGATCTTGCGAAAAACTAGAATCATGGTCTTGATCTACGCACCCGATTTAAAGAGAAAACAGGTTTTGGTTTACATTACAGATACTTCAGAATTCTTGGTAATTTCTTGCGTCTCGAAGCCGTAAGGTTAAGAGGCCATTTTCTACTGCAAATTAACTGGTGTATTAAAATAGTCCTCTTGGAACATTTTGTCGATCTTGCGAAAAACTAGCATCATGTTCTTGATCTACGCACCCGATTTAAAGAGAAAACAGGTTTTGATCTACATTACAGATACCTAAGAATTCTTGGAAATTTCTTGGGTCTCGAAGCCTTAAGGATAAGGGGCCATTTTCTACTGCAAATTAACTGGTGTATTAAAATAGTCCTCTTGGAACATTTTGTCGATCTTGCGAAAAACTAGAATCATGGTCTTGATCTACGCACCCGATTTAAAGAGAAAACAGGTTTTGGTTTACATTACAGATACTTCAGAATTCTTGGTAATTTCTTGCGTCTCGAAGCCGTAAGGTTAAGAGGCCATTTTCTACTGCAAATTAACTGGTGTATTAAAATAGTCCTCTTGGAACATTTTGTCGATCTTGCGAAAAACTAGAATCATGGTCTTGATCTACGCACCCGATTTAAAGAGAAAACAGGTTTTGGTCTACATTACAGATACCTAAGAATTCTTGGAAATTTCTTGGGTCTCGAAGCCTTAAGGATAAGGGGCCATTTTCTACTGCAAATTAACTGGTGTATTAAAATAGTCCTCTTGGAACATTTTGTCGATCTTGCGAAAAACTAGAATCATGGTCTTGATCTACGCACCCGATTTAAAGAGAAAACAGGTTTTGATCTACATTACAGATACCTAATTAGACTTGGACATTTTTTGCGTCTGGAAGCCATAATTTTAAAGAACCACTTTTCTACTGCAAATGATTGGAGTAGAGACATGGATATCTTGAACATTGCGTCCATCTTCGCGGAAAACTGGCATCATATTCTCAAACAGGTTATGGTCTGCATTACAGATACCTAAGAATTCTTGGAAATTTCTTGCTTCTCGAAGCCTTAAGGATAAGGGGCCATTTTCTACTGCAAATTAATTGGTGTATTAAATGGTCCTCTTGGAACATTTTGTCGATCTTGCGAAAAACTAGCATATCATGTTCTTGATCTACGCACCCGATTTAAAGAGAAAACAGGTTTTGGTCTACATTACATATACTTAAGAATTCTTGGTGATTTCCTGCGTCTCGAAGCCATAAAGTTAAGAGGCCATTTTGTACTGCAAATGATTGGTGTATTAGAATAGTCCTCTTGGAACATTTCGTCGATCTTAGTGAAAAACTAGCATCATGTTCTTGATCTACGCACCCGATTTAAAGAGAAACCAGGTTTTGGTCTACATTACAGATACTTCAGAATTCTTGGTAATTTCTTGCGTCTCGAAGCCGTAAGGTTAAGAGGCCATTTTCTACTGCAAATTAATTGGTGTATTAAAATAGTCCTCTTGGAACATTTTGTCGATCTTGCGAAAAACTAGCATCATGTTCTTGATCTACGCACCCGATTTAAAGAGAAAACAGGTTTTGGTCTACATTACAGATACTTCAGAATTCTTGGTAATTTCTTGCGTCTCGAAGCCATAAGGTTAAGAGGCCATTTTCTACTGCAAATTGATTGGTGTATTAAAATAGTCCTCTTGGAACATTTTGTCGATCTTGCGAAAAACTAGCATCATGTTCTTGATCTACGCATCCGATTTAAAGAGAAAACAGGTTTTGGTCTACATTACATATACTTAAGAATTCTTGGTGATTTCTTGCGTCTCGAAGCCATAAGGTTAAGAGGCCATTTTCTACTGCAAATTAATTGGTGTATTAAAATAGTCCTCTTGGAACATTTTGTCGATCTTGCGAAAAACTAGCATCATGTTCTTGATCTACGCACCCGATTTAAAGAGAAAACAGGTTTTGGTCTACATTACAGATACTTCAGAATTCTTGGTAATTTCTTGCGTCTCGAAGCCATAAGGTTACGAGGCCATTTTCTACTGCAAATTGATTGGTGTATTAAAATAGTCCTCTTGGAACATTTTGTCGATCTTGCGAAAAACTAGCATCATGTTCTTGATCTACGCACCCGATTTAAAGAGAAAACAGGTTTTGGTTTACATTACAGATACTTCAGAATTCTTGGTAATTTCTTGCGTCTCGAAGCCGTAAGGTTAAGAGGCCATTTTCTACTGCAAATTAATTGGTGTATTAAAATAGTCCTCTTGGAACATTTTGTCGATCTTGCGAAAAACTAGCATCATGTTCTTGATCTACGCACCCGATTTAAAGAGAAAACAGGTTTTGGTCTACATTACAGATACCTAAGAATTCTTGGAAATTTCTTGGGTCTCGAAGCCTTAAGGATAAGGGGCCATTTTCTACTGCAAATTAACTGGTGTATTAAAATAGTCCTCTTGGAACATTTTGTCGATCTTGCGAAAAACTAGCATCATGTTCTTGATCTACGCACCCGATTTAAAGAGAAAACAGGTTTTGGTCTACATTACATATACTTCAGAATTCTTGGTAATTTCTTGCGTCTCGAAGCCATAAGGTTAAGAGGCCATTTTCTACTGCAAATTAATTAGTGTATTAAAATAGTCCTCTTGGAACATTTTGTCGATCTTGCGAAAAACTAGCATCATGTTCTTGATCTACGCACCCGATTTAAAGAGAAAACAGGTTTTGGTCTACATTACAGATACCTAAGAATTCTTGGAAATTTCTTGGGTCTCGAAGCCTTAAGGATAAGGGGCCATTTTCTACTGCAAATTAACTGGTGTATTAAAATAGTCCTCTTGGAACATTTTGTCGATCTTGCGAAAAACTAGAATCATGGTCTTGATCTACGCACCCGATTTAAAGAGAAAACAGGTTTTGGTCTACATTACAGATACCTAAGAATTCTTGGAAATTTCATGGGTCTCGAAGCCTTAAGGATAAGGGGCCATTTTCTACTGCAAATTAACTGGTGTATTAAAATAGTTCTCTTGGAACACTTTGTCGATCTTGCGAAAAACTAGAATCATGGTCTTGATCTACGCACCCGATTTAAAGAGAAAACAGGTTTTGGTCTACATTACAGATACCTAATTAGTCTTGGACATTTTTTGCGTCTGGAAGCCATAAGGTTAAAGAACCACTTTTCTACTGCAAATGATTGGAGTAGAGACATGGATATCTTGAACATTGCGTCCATCTTCGCGGAAAACTGGCATCATATTCTCAAACAGGTTATGGTCTGCATTACAGATACCTAAGAATTCTTGGAAATTTC